TAAAAGACTTATTTAACAAAATAAACACAGACCAGTTATAACATTGACGAGCCAGCCAGACTTTCTGGTCTTTTCACACTTCCATTAAGGGGGGAATAGAGCAGAGGAAGAGAAAGAGAGAGGACAGATTGAATTACTCTTTGTGAAAGCAGCTTGAATTGAAGTGTGTGCAGCCAGAAGCAGAAAAAGAACTGTGTGTGTTTATCAGAAGACAACGATTTCCAAAATCACAAAGACTGTTCCAAGATTATTTTCTACAACAGACAAAAGCATGTGTTATAAAGAAAGCAGCACAAGATACAACGTGTATTCTGCAAGTAAGCACGTGGCAGAGATTGGCAAGAGTCCAGAAGAAAATCCACAGTGCGCAGCTGTATGAGTGAGGGCAGACGGTGTTGTGCATTATAGATAATCTTGTCTGGTGAGTAATAATGGATTTTTTTACTGTTATTGCAGAGAAAAGTCAACTTGATTTTGTGTTTAATAGCTGCTATACAGATAAGTCAATTGTGGACAAGTTTGAATGAGCAGTGTAAACAAGCAAATTCAGCTACTGCTAATAAACTGTTATGTTTAAATAAAACAAAAAAGAAGATTAGAAATGTTTTAAAATTGGTAGAAACATTTGACACAATGATCCTTAGAACAGGAGTGGCTCCAGCAAAATTGCAAGTACCAGCACAAGTAAAGGTGCAAGATTTAAAAAGTACACAGACAGACATTAAAGATAAATCTGTATGTGTAACAGAAATTAAATGTACTAACTGTGATAGACTTCAGGCAAATGTTTGTGACTTGGAAGAACAGTTGGATCTTAAATCTGAAAGTGATTTGTAAACTTAGACCTGAAGCCAAACACTTGTATGTAATTACAAGGAGTGATCGTAATTTGATACCAGAGCCAGATGATGTCACAGAAATATCATCACAGTCTGATTTTCAACGTAGAAAATTGTTAGATAAGGCTGCAAAACTTAAATTAAAAATTCAAGAGCAGCTGATGAAAGTTACCAAAGATATTCCTCAATATAATCCATCAATGGATGCCTTTGGTAATGCAGACATATTTGAGTCTAATGTATCTAAACATAATTTGAATGATGAACAAAGGAACAGATTGTTTAAAATATGGCTCCCAACATACACTGCACGTAGATTGAAACAACCCATAAGTACCCCTGCTGATGAAGATGGTGAAATGGTCCATGGGAATGAGCGAGATAGATTGACACAATTAATAAGATTAACAACAGGAAATGAGCATGTGGATATTGAGATTTTAGAAAAATTAAAACCAAAATATAAATAAAGATGTATTCAGTTTCCCTTTAAAATTTGAGCGTGCATACAGGTTGGTAACGAGTGTTCCTGATGATCACACACCAAAATCTATGGTAAATGCATTTATAAAAAAATGTAAATATCTTGATCTAATATCAATTGCATGTGCACTACAGTGCCAAACTATGGAAGAGGTGGCATCATTTCTAGATAGGGTTAGGAGAGAATCCAGACAACAAACGGTTAATAAAAATCTGTCTGTCAAATAAAAAGATACAGGGGAGAGGAACAGCACAGGCACAGGAAGAGCCCCCCTCCCTCGCCTTCTGCAGCTGTTAGATCACAGACAAAGAGGAGAGATGCTCCAACTTTTAACAACGACCACTCACAGTATGAAAGAAACTCGGCACATGGTCTGGTTGGTTTCTATTGCAATAAGCCAGGTCATATAAAAAGAAACTGCAGGAAATATTTTTATGATTTACAATCAAGGGATCATCAAATGGATTTATTCAAAATAATCCTAATATAGAAAACACCAGAGATTTGTCATATACTCCTCTGATAAGGCAAGTGAGATAAATTTTAGCTTCTTCAAACACAGGAGACAGACAGGGTGTGATTTCTAACATGTCTAATGAGACTGACCACATTTTAAATTCACAATGACAATCTAAAGGAAGTAGGCCACATCCACTTGAATTTTTGGCTCCATTAAATTTAGATGGATGTGGTAGACCATACATTAAATGTTCTTTAAAAGGTTATGACACAGAATTTCTCATTTACACTGGAGCTCAACTAAGTATAACAAGTTTATAACTACCTTTATCACCAAGTGAACCTATATGTACAATTGTAGGATTTGACAGAAGTGGAGGATCTATAGCAACATTAATAAATAATGTTACTTTAGAAATACCTCAGTGTTTAAAAACAAAAATTGATATCTGGTACTGCAAAAATGTTGATAATATCATAGGCACAGATATTATGCAAAGAAGAGGTTGGATTGTTGATTTGGGAAACAAGGCTATTTGGAAAGATGCTAAGGGTAGGAAACCAGTGCTATTGGATCCTACTGAAAATGGAGAGTTAGGAATTGTTTGTCCAGTAGATGTAGTGTCTACAGAAATGCAATGGCCTAATACTAGGGATAACCTTGAGATTGTACAGAGTTATCCAGATTTATGGGCACAAAGTAAAAATGAATGTGGGAGGTTTACAAATGTGCCGATTGACATTCAAGATCCTGATTCACTCCCACAGAAGCAGTATCAATTACCCCCAGATTCAATTGATTCTATTGCAAGTGTCATTAATGATTTGGAACAGAGAGTGGTAATTAGGAAAAGGAAATAGTCCATGCAACAGCAACATTTGGCCAGTGTTGAAAAAAGAAACGAATTAACAATTGATTTAAGGACCACTATAGTGCCAGGAAAACATACTCGTTTTCCTGGCACTATAGTGCCCTGAGTGTGCCCCCACCCGCCGGGCTCTAGGGAGAGGAAAGGGGTTAAAACTTACCTTTCTCCAGCGCCGGGCGGGGAGCTCTCCTCCTCTCCGCCTCCTTTCCTCCCTTTCGGCTGAATGCGCACACGCGGCAAGAGCTGCGCGCGCATTCAGCCAGTCTCATAGGAAAGCATTGATAATGCTTTCCTATGGACGCTTGCGTGTTCTCACTGTGATTTTCACAGTGAGAATCACGCAAGGGCCTCTAGCGGCTGTCAATGAGACAGCCACTAGAGAATTTGAGGTCTGGATTAACCCATTTATAAACATAGCAGTTTTTCTGGACCTGGCACCCAGACCACTTCATTAAGCTGAAGTGGTCTGGGTGCCTAGAGTGGTCCTTTAAATAAATACACACCACCTTCTGCACATGTGATAGCAGGAACCCCAGATAAAATGTCACGATTGATGTCAACAGCTAAAGTATACTCAGTACTAGATGTAAGTAATGGGTTCTTCTCTGTACCACTGAAGCATAGTTGTCAATATAAGTTTGATTTTACTTTTTAAAATCGGCAATATGTGTTTACTGTGTTACCCCAGGGTTTTCACAGTTCTCCAATGTTTTCATCAGGCATTGGCAAAGGCTTTGTCTAAGTTTTCAAATACAGAATGCTTGTTACAATATGTTGATGATATGCTTTTGCAGACTGAAACTGAGGAAGAACACCTAATTCTGTTGAATGAACTATTTTTCCTTTTGCAGGATTCTGGTTTAAAACTGAACACACGCAAAGTAACACTGATACAACCAGAAGTACAATACTAGGGTGTACACATTGGTCCAGGACATAAGAAGCCAGTGCAGGAAAGAATCAAAACTATTTCTTCTCTTCCTGTACCGACTTCACACAAGGCTTTACGCCAGTTCTTAGGATTAATGAATTTTTCCAGAGAATACATTGAAGGGTTCGCTGAAAAAGCCAAACCTTTTATATGATCTCTTGAAAAATAGTGAATCTTCATTTGCTCCATGGACAGATGTACATCAGAATGCATTTGAGGTAAAGAGAAACGTACAGGTTGCACCTGCTTTAGCGACAATACATCCAACTGCATCCTTTGCAATTCAAGTACATACTTCAGAGATGGCTGTCTCCGCAGTACTATTACAATTGCAGCAAGAGATTTGGAGAATAGTGGGATATTTTTCTAAAATTTTCCAGTGGAAAGAGGGCTAGAAATTTGTGCCAGACATTTGGTAGGAGTACATTTTGCGGTAATGGCAACTGAACACATAGTGGGATTCAAGGACATAATTCTGCAAACACCACACACACCTTTGAAATTACTTCTTGAAAAAGGAATTCCAGGTGTGTCACATCAGAGATTTTCCAAATGGTTAATAGCTGTATCACCAAAGCAATTTAAGGAAGAACATAAGGCAAAGTATGTACTTCCACAACTAATGCAAAATGAGGGTAAACCCCATGAATGTTTAGCAGAAGATGAAGAGAATTTTCTTTCTCTTTTCAGAAAAGAAGTAATTGAATCTGATGAACCTGTGTTTGTTGATGGGTCCAGATTCTGTTCAGATGGGAAGTACTGTATAGGTTATGCTATATGGTATCCAAAACGAGGATATTCAGTAGAACATAAATTGATTTGTCAGCACAGAGAGCAGAACTAGAAGCATTAAAAACAGTACTAACACTTGAGGAAAAAGAAGGGTGTCCCCTAGTGATATATAGTGATAGTCCATATGTGGTTAGATCACTAACAGAACATTTAGCTAATATGGAAAAGAAGAGGTTTCGTAGATGCCTCAAATAAAGTGTTAGCACACAAAGAGACACTAGAGACCATATTTGGAATTGCAGTTCCAGTAAAAGTTCCTGCCCATCAAAAAGGTAAAGATGTACTTAGTGAAGAAAATTAAATAGCTAATAAATTTGCAAAAAGAGCAGCTTTAACTGGTGAAAATGCATTGCTGACAAAACCTATGTCAGTAGCAGTGGCTAGAAAGACTAACACACTGCCTCCATCTTTTGCAGAAGAACAGGCAAAGGATTCTTCCATTGCGGCTTCTCGGGTTGATCCAAAACCTCCATTTGTTCATGAGAACCGGGTTTTGTGTCATGACCATAACGGAGAACTGTGTCCAGTCATGCCAGAGCATCTAAAAGTGTTATTTACACAATCTAATCATGAAAGTTTAGGTCACATTGGACAGAAGAAACTGTTAGAGGTACTCAGAAATAGGTTTTATTGGGATAACATGGAAAACACTGTACAACAGGTAGTACAATCATGTTTGATATGTGCACAAATAAATCCCAGACCTAAAGGACAAAAACCACCTGTACAACATATAGCACCTGCAAACGGTCCTTGGTCTACTTTACAAATGGATTTCATTGGGCCATTACCAACAGGTAAGAATGGATTAAAATATGCGTTAGTAGTTGTGGATGTATTCTCTAAATGGTTGGAAGTAATTCCACTAACAAAAGATGATTCACAAAAAACAACTGAAGCGTTATGGACACACATTTTCTCAAGATGGGGATTTCCTAAACTTTTAGAGTCAGACAGAGGTACCCATTTCACAGGGAAAATCATGCAAACACTGTGTGCTATTCTAGGCATAGAGCAAAGATTCCATATTCCATATCATCCACAATCTGCTGGGATTGTGGAACGTATGAATCGAACATTGAAATCTAGACTTTCAAAAATGTTACTTGAGAAAGGCAACACATGGGTACAGGCACTTCCTGCTGTACTTATGGGTATTAGAGGTACTATGTCTTCAACTACACAATACACTCCATTTGAATTAATGACAGGCAGGAAAATAAATGGTTGCAAATGCTGCAGGAAAATTTGGAGCAAATCCTTCCACATGCAGCTACACGTATGTGCAAAATGGCACCTCCTGATTTTTCTAAGTTTTTAAGGGGGGGGTATGGTCATGATAAAACTGTTAGGAAAACTGGACCTTGGCAGGCAAACTTGGAAGGTCCTTAAAACATAACAGATACAATGGGACAAACAATGGTACAAGTGCAAAGACCTCTTGATGGTTCACGGAATAAACGGAGGCAAAATTGTATAGGATTCATGCAGATCAGTGCAAATTGTATAAACCTACAACATAATTTGATAATATATTGATACTGCTTTTTTTTTTTCTTGGTTTATTTTAGATAATTTGTAATCAGACCTACAGAGGAATGTTAGCCGGTGACAGAAGATGTGTTCACAAAGACAACTGTGTAGCAGAAAGAAGTTGTTCGTCAGCATCCTGCTAACATTGATGACTACAGTTCTTGTAGTAGTTATATTTAAGATAAACAAACCGACTTTCAATCAGGAATTAAAGAATGACTTATTGGGAAATATTAGAAAACAGAGAGACAATGAACAAGTATTAAAAGGTCATGTTTGTTTCGGGACAAAAAAATCTACAAGTATGCAATGTGTGAATTAATGTCACAGGCGATAGTGTTATTAATTTAAACATTGCAATAGGTCCTAATGATTTATTTAGCTAGACCAAAGGTTCATTTGTACAAGATAATGTAAAAACGGGATCATGGGAACTTAACATATTACAAAATGCATATATCATGATTGTAGTTAATGGAGAGGAAATGGCAAATTGGTCAGGTGACATGTATGTGAATGTTGCACAAACTTCAGTAACAACACACGGATGAGGTGGTGAGATACTTCATACAATTCAATATTGGCTTATACATTTAGAGCCAGAATTCCTCTTAAAAAAATAATACTCCAAGTATACCTTGGATATGGGAAATACGAGCATCTAGGGAATCGTTGACAGTAAGAGTTAACATGATGTTTCTGGTAACTGACTATGTTATGTCAGATATTATGTCTTGTAGATATCCAGGAAGGAAAAGAAAAGACTTAGATTAACATGTAGTACACATATAATTTTACCCCCTGAGTCTGTAATGACATGGAAAAGAGAAGGAAAGTTTTTGGGTAGTATGTCACATACAACGTCAAAGGTTATTCACAGAGGTGTACTAGGAAAGGTGTTTGTTTTCTATTTAGACAATCCTACCTACAGTGATAGTGGAAACTATCAATGTTGTATAACGTTAAGAAATCATCACGAGAGAGGTGGTGATGTTAAGGTAAATGTATTCTCTCTTATTTAGGTAGAATGCAAAAATAACATTTTTAAGTTATCAAGTCCCTTTCAATTGAATCATTGTCAATCAAAGCCTTTGTTAGTAGGTGGGAAGTTTGCAATAATAGTTTGGCATTTTAATGTTTCTCAGTGGAAAATCTCAACTAAATTTCCACAATGTAAGGAACATTTATTAAATATGGAACGAGGCTTAGAACATTGGTTTGGAGGAAATAAAGTATCAAACAGAAAAAAAGAGATATAGTAGAAGGAATTATGGCTGGATTTGGTACTATAGGAAGTATCACTGATTCTATGGATATTCAAACATTAAAGAATGATTTGGGAACTGTAGGGTTAATAGGGGGGAAAGGATTGCATATTCAAAGAGGTTTAAATCAAACCTCTGTTATTGCACCCTCTGTTAAACATTTACAGGAAGCTACTCTGGCATTAATGTCAAATGCAGATTCATCCCAGGTAGCCAAAGCTTGTTTGGAGATACAAGTTGAATATTCTACAGATTTTAAGGTGATGGCATAAGCATTACAAGGTGGTGTTACTCCTATAGAACCCAAACGTAGTTTACCTGAGGAGTTTGTGTTCGCTAAAAATCATACAGATTTATGGGTTAACAAATGGTTGGGATGTAACAATGATATATGTATAAGTTCTTCTTTAATACCAATTTCTGGTATTGAAAAAAACACTATTTTCAATGTTGGTATTAGGGATTCCTATTAGTAAAACACAATTACTATTTTATAAATTACAATATCCTGATTTTGTTTATTATAGTAACATTAATGAACTTGAGCAGGTAGATCTTTCTAGTTGTCTACATTTTGTATCCAAAATAATATGTTTAAATATCCAAGTTAAAACCATTTATCATTCATGTTTTCATAACCAAAGCTCATGTTCTGGTAAAATTAAATCCGTTAAAAATCCTCATGAAATTGTAACTCCCATAGAAAAAGACAAAGTTATGTGTACAGGTTATGTCAAATAATGAGTTAGTAAGAGCTACATTTTCAGAATGTACACATTCAGAAAGATTACTGGAAGGGTTATATTGTATCAGTGGGGGTCCACTAACATATACATATACATATACAAGGAACTCAAGTTAATATATCGAAGAGTCCTATACAAGAGATAGATATCATGCCTATGCAATTACCGTATATACTCGAGTATAAGCCGAGTTTTTCAGCACATTTTTTGTGCTGAAAAACCCCAACTCGGCTTATACTCGAGTCAGTGTCTGTATTATGGCAATTTACATTAATTTACATTGCCATAATACAGACTGGGGGCTGGCAGAGCTGTTACTTACCTCTCCTGCCAGCTCTCTCCTACTCCGCGCCGGTCCGGTCAGCACCTCGGTCAGCTCCCAGTGTAAGTCTCACGAGAGCCGCGGGGTCATAGTGCGGCTCTCGCAAGACTTACAGTGTGAGCTGAGAGAGTAGCTGCACGGACTGGTGCGGAGGAGAGAGCTGACAGGAGCTGCAGGAGAGGTAAGTAACAGCTCTGCCAGCCTCCCTCCTCCCCCCACTGAACTGCCAATGCCACTGGACCACCAGGGAAGGAGAGCCCCCCTCCCTGCCATGTATCAAGCAGGGAGGGGGGACAACAAAATAAATACATTAATAATACATAAATATAAATAATAATAAAAAAATAATTAAAAAAATAATATATAAATAAAATAATAATAAAAAAATAATATAACAAAATGTTTTAAATAATATCAATTAATAAAATATATAAATATAAATAATAATAAAAAAATAATTTAAAAAATAATATAACCAAAAAAATTATTTTTTTTTATAAAAATGCCCACCCCCCACCAAAGCTCTGCAACACAAACACACACTGCATCACACACACACACACTGCACTCATACACACACTGCGCACTCATACACACACTGCGCACTCATACACACACACTGTATTCATACACACACTGCGCACTCATACACACACTGCACTCATACACACACTGCATTCATACACACACTGCACACTCATACACACGCTGCGCACTCATACACACACACTGCACTCATACACACACACACACTGCATTCATACACACACTGCACTCATACACACTGCACTCATATACACACACTGCGCACTCATACACACACTGCGCACTCATACACACACTGCGCACTCATACACACACTGCATTCATCATATACACACACTGTAAATAAATATTCAATTAATATAATTTTTTTAGAATCTAATTTTATTTAGAAATTTACCAGTAGCTGCTGCATTTCCCACCCTAGTCTTATACTCGAGTCAATACGTTTTCCCATTTTTGGGGGGTAAAATTAGGGGCTTCGGCTTATATTCGGGTCGGCTTATACTCGAGTATATACGGTAAATGTTTCACAAACAAATGAGTTTCCATGGAGAAAGTGGGCAGATGAGATTAGGAAAGACAAAATATTATATTTGTTACAAAAAACAGTTGAAAGATACAGAAATTCAATTCGAAAATGAACAGGGTAAATTAAAGATGATAGAACATGAATGGTCAATTGTTTCTAGTTCCTCTTGGTGGAATGACAATTAAAAGTACATACACACTTGCTAAATCATCTGTTGGATCAGCAATTGTAAATATTTTATTTCATCCATTTATTATTGTTATATGTGTGTCTATAATATGTATCGTTTTACAAGTAGTTATGCAATGTAGAATTAGAAAACTGGATATACTCGTAAATGAAAAGGTTAAACAGAAGGAGAATACACTAAAGGAAACTGTAAACCGGGTAATACACAATACTTTCAAAGAATCTCAGATACTGGGTAGCTATGAACACATCTCTTCTTATACTCAATGACTGTGATATGAATGTGATACGAATGATGTATGAATGGACAGGTATATAACCATAAACAGAGGGAAATATAGAATATTGCATATTCTATATGTTCCTATTCAAATACATATTAATGGGTTAAAAAGAACAGATGGTGTTTGCTATTCTGTACCATGAGGTCTCTGGAGTTTGCTGTATAGAGAGATTTGGGGATGGTCTTTATATGGGAATTTCCTTATATGGCCAGAGTCTAAATTATGCGCTATGATGTAATTTTGGCTATAAAGGGCAGAGGACCACGTTCTTTTCTCTTCCACAATCTGCTGTCCTCCCTGAGGTCCTGAGTTACTGATACAAAGACAACTACTTAATATCTCAACCTCTGTAACGTCGTTAAGAAATACCATCTGTTAAGTATATTATTGTTTTCTGTTTAAGTAGAAAAAATGCATATTTTTTTATAAAGAACGTCAGATTGCGTATTAGTACTTTTCATTAATA